GCCTTCATGGCACATCTTTCCACGCCGCAAACAAAATCGTGGGAAGCGAGAAGCTCAGTGCCCAAAAAAGGTTGCGGGAACCGTTTCTGGGCATCGCACATCCTGCAATTTTTATTGCACGATCGCGGCGCATTTTCCACACGGACAAAAACATCACGGTCACAGCTAAAATGCCCCTCGTTTTCAGGTGCCATTGAAATTAATGGCATCTGAACATGCTAATGTGCATTTTTACATTTTAACATTACATTTTCAAACTGTGGGCAGAATTGTGGGAATTACACGTGCAATTTGAAATGCCTGTGTGAATGGAGCCTTACAGGAGTTTTCAGTTCTCCTCTTCTAACGCTACACAACAACACAAATGCTATATTCAGCCTCCTGGTTTACTCTGGCAGCAGAGTTGCTCTCGGGCTTCCCTTTTCTGATCCTCCAGATCAGTGTTTTTCAACCTTTTTTCAGTCAAGGCACCCTTCAAAATGACGGATAATCTCAAGGCACCCAATCTAAAATGTAAAAAGCTGTTCTACACACATCCAGTACACCCAACGTTAGAGGTGATTTATTCTTTCAAAGCAAATACACCGTTGCACACTAGTACCCACTAGTATTTCAGTGTTTCTCATTTTCTCTCCCTCACTCTGCTAATGTGACCCCAGTGCTGACGGAGAGGGGCAGGGGAGGACCAAACAAGGATGATGTGCATGCACCTGATGTCCTTCTTATCAACTGATGATGTCATTGGTTGTTGGATGCTGGCAGCTAGAAGGTCATAAAAGTGCACAAAGAAAACCTGTGCTTTGTGTATTAAAAGGTAGGACTGATCCACCTGCTGGCTTCTATACAATTTAGAGCATTATGCCAAGGCACCCCTGAAGAAGCCTGAAGGCACTCCAGGGTGCCTGGGCACCCTGGTTGAGATTGGCTGCTCCAGACTATTCCACCAAACTCAGACTATGTGTCCATTTCACAGCTCCCTGTTGCACCAGCCCACACCTTGTTCAGGGACCTCCTGTCTCCCAGGTGGAGCCCTGAATCCTAGTCAGCTCCTATATTAGAAGGGCTGTGCAAATCTGCACAATCAGGACCCTTATTGCCAGTAAAACATAGACCCGGGGTTGGAAGCTTCATCCAGTCCAATTCTCTACACAACTTTCGGGTTCCAGAATCCATGCCAGGATTTACCAAACCTGGAGAAAACTGAACATTCTCTGCTAAAGAGACACATATCTTAAAGCCCCTCAACCTGAATGAGTATAAATATGTATCTTCTTTTTAGATAGCATTGAGAGGACAGGGCCGTAGAAGGTTCTTAACCCATCATCAGGACTGGTTTCTGCTCCTTTGTGCAAGGAGGAACAGAATGAGCACTGCCATAGCCCTACAAAATGACCTCCAGCAGGCCACTGGTGTGAATGTCTCTGACCAAACAATCAGAAACAGACTTCATGAGGGTGGCCTGAGGGCCCAACGTCCACTAGTGGGCCCTGTGCTCACTGCCTAGATTGACATTTGCCACTGAACACCAGAATTGGCAGGTCTGCCACTGGCACCCTGTGCTTTTCACAGATGAGAGCAGGTTCACCCTGAGCACCTGTCACAGATGTGAAATGGTCTTGAGAAGTCAAGGAGAACATTATGCTGCCTGTAACATCATTCAGCATGACCATTTTAGTGGTGGGTCAGTGATGGTCTGGGGAGGCATATTCATGGAGGGAAACAGACCTCTACAGGCTAGACAATGACACCTGACTGCCATTAGGTATTGGAATCAAATCCTTTGACCCGTTGTCAGACTCTGTGCTGGTGCAGTGAGCACTGGGTTCCTCATGATGGACGACAATACCCAGGCCTCATATGGTGAGAGTATGCAGGCAGTTCCTGGAGGATGAGGGAATTGATACCATTGAATGACCCCCATACTGGCCTGACCTAAATCCAATGGAACTCCTCTGGGATATCATGTTTCGGTCCATTTGATACCGCCAGGCTGCACCTCAGACTATCCAGGAGCTCAGTGATGCCCTGGTCCAGATCTGGGAGAAAATACCCCAGGACAGCATCCGTCCTCTCATTGTTGTCAGGCATGCATACAAGCACGTGGGGGCCAAACAAACTACTGAGAACCATTTTGAGTTGCTGCAATTAAATTTCAGCAAAATGGACTAGCCTTCTGCATAATTTTTTCACTTTGATTTTCAGGGTATCTTTGAATTCAGTCCTCTGTAGGTTGATAATTTTCATTTCCATCAAAGGATAGGGAATTCTTACATTCCTAACACAATACCCAGTCCATATCAGTATAGATATTCAGCATGATATTTTCCCCATTGAGATGTTTTCAAAGTGTTCCTTTCATTTTTTTGAGCAGTGTAGTTTGTTTGAAGCTCTTTATGTACCGGTATATACACTATTGTCCATAGTTTGGGCACAGGTGCACTTTAATCATGCCCTGCAACTGGTAAGATTTTCACTTTCACACTAACTTATACAGGTGGATGTGATATAGTGGACAGACTACAGAAAAAAAATTGTTTTAGCGGGCTATTGCAAAATGCATATCATCTTTGTTCTTTGCAGCCGCTTTAGAAATATGTAAGAGTATGTTATAACTGCTCAGTATACAGAACACAGATTCACAAATAGCGAGCCAGAATAGCCAGATCACAATGGATAAATGAAAAGAACCCGCAGACTAACCCTTTTTCTGTTTTCATTTTCAGAGTTCTTAATAAAAATATACTCATTACACAATAATATTGTTTTATTAAATTAATTACTGTTTGAATAGGCTTGAGTTCATTGCAGACTGGCAGACATCTTTCCTAGAACAAATATCTGTTCATTGTTTGTAGTTTTAGGACCTACCAGGGGTAGCTGTGGGACTTGACGATGAACTGAAGCAGTGTATATGACGTTACAGTGTATTTATGGGAAAAAGAAAAAGAAATGTGCACTAGATTTCTACAGTACGTACACATTACCCGTGCTTTATCAATTTAAAGACCTTGCAAGTCCAGAAAAATACCCATTGATGTTCTAAAAATGCACTCAGCTCCTAATTCCTGTTGTGGCCTGACAGCACAGTATTTTTGTGGACTGATTGGTGTCAGCCCTGCCCTGCTGTCCTTTGCTACACTACTCAACCCTTTCCTATATCCTATCTTCCAAAACATAAAGGCTAATTGTTCTATAATCCTAAAATAAGAACTGGGAGGGCCAATTAGGCTCATTGAGCTCCTTATCAAACAGATATATATCACATATAGACAACTACAGTTCTTATGTTACAGCATGCATAAGTGCCTTTTTTATTTCTTTTTATGTTGCTAGATTATTTTTGGTCATTGCATAGGCAGACTTAGCTGATTTGGTCAATAGTGAAAAATATTCTTTGTAACTGCTTTAAAACTAATGTTTAAATTGGAATTCCAGCTTATATTTAACTTGCTTTAAAACTGTCCCCTCCCCCCTCCTAACATCTAGTCTAACTAACCTGTGTAAGAAGATGTATACAGTATACTTACCTATTTTAAGTTTGTTCTGGTCCGGACACACAATCCCCTGCGTCAGCCAGTGGCAGCTGCAGGGGAGAGGAAAGAGTGTTCCAACATTGGCTAGTAAAGCCTGAAGCGGTGACATCACCCATAGGCTTTAATGGTCCCTTTGTTGTCATTGCTCCCTCCTTTCCCCTGAAGCCATGCTGGCTGACAGAGGGGAGCCACATCATAGGACCAGACCAGAGTGGCCTGAAAATAGGTAAGTATACAAGGTGGTATCAAAAAGTTTGAGACTAGTTTTGTAACACACCAACACATGGCAGCACATGGCTGCATGAACAGTCACAGGGAGCACCGACCTTCATAATCAGTGTGCCAAAAGACATCATCCTCTGTACATCGGGAGCTGTGCAGCTGGTGCTATTCTGACCACGTACGTTACCATGGGTGCTATTTCATCATGGACAGCAAGTTTGAAAAAGAGGAAACATAAAATTTTTCATAAAACTGGCCAAATCTGCCACAGAGACATTTGACATGATTCGGCAAGTTTACGGCAATGCTGCAATAAATTGTTCAAGATATTTTTAGTGGCACTTCAAGAGTGGAAGAACATCACTGGAAGATGACGAGCGATCAAGAAAAACTTCAAATAGCTCAACCCTCAAAAATGCCCTCTTCCCGAAGATGAAGATCTAGCTCAAAGGTCACTGTTTTGCCAACATTGCAGAGATCCTGAAATTTGCCCAGTTTCATGGAGAATTTCATGTTCTATACTAGTAGCATAGAATCAGTGTATATCTAATTTTCTAAATGTCTGGGTAATCTATATAGTAAAGAATTAGACTGTTAGTCATGTCAGCAATTTTTACATTGTAGATATTAGCGATTATCTCCTAGATTGTAAGCTTGAAAGAGCAGGGCCCTCAATCCCCTCATGTTTTGCATTGTATTGGTATTGTTCTGTCCCCCTTTTGTAATGTACAGCGCTGAGCGAACTATTGGCGCTTTATAAATACTGTATAATAATAATAATTCAAGTTACATTTTAAAGATATCAGCCTTATAAGACCAGCCAGTGTTTTGTTGCCTGGTGTGTCTGCCATTCTTGAGGGATAGTCAGGCCCTGACTTGTTTCCCCCTCTCCTGGGTGTTTGACATCTAGCCTGCTCCCCCGAAGGATCCTCAGGTAACCAAGTTGGTACAGACAAGGTGGTGATGGATGCAACTTCTGTAGTATTCAAAATTGTTTTGTTGATAAATGTCTTTTTTATTTGGACTTGTTAGTCTTGTCCTCTTGCCAGCTCCTAATGAAGCGGATGATATCCAAGAAACAAATCAAGCTTACTGACAAGAACATATGAGTTTGAGAAATTATTTTATTGCAAAAGTTTGTGATATGCAATCTGATGTACACTATGTTGCCAAAAGTATTGGGACACCCCTCCAAATCATTGGATTCAGGTGTTCCAATCACCTCCATGACCACAGGTGTATAAAATCAAGCACCAAGGCATGCAGACTGCTTCTATAAACATTTGTGAAAGAATGGGTCACTCTCAGGAGCTCAGTGAATTCAAGCGTGGCACCATGATAGGTTGCCACCTGTGCAACAAGTCCATCCGTGACATTTTCTTGCTACTAAATATTCCACAGTCAACTGTTAGTGGTATAACAAAGTGGAAGCAACTGGGAACAACAGCAACTCAGCCACGAAGTGGCAGGCCACGTAAAATGACAGAGCAGGGTCAGCACATGCTGAAGCACGCAGTGCGCAGAAGTTGCCACCTGTCTGCAGAGTCAATAGCTAAAGACCTCCAAACTTCATTTGGCTTCAGATTAGCACAACAACAGTGCGTAGAGAGCTTCATGGGATGTTTTTCCATGGCCGAGCAGCTGCATCCAAGCCTTACATCACCAAGTGCAATGCAAAGCGTTGGATGCAGTGGTGTACAGCACACTCTAGAGCACTAAAGACGTGTTCTCTGGAGTGACAAATCACACTTCTCTGTCTGGCAATCCGATGGACGTGTATGGGTTTGGCGGTTACCAGGAGAACGGTACTTGCCTGACTGCATTGTGCCAAGTGTAAAGTTTGGTGGAAGGGGGATTATGGTGTGGGGTCATTTTTCAGGGGTTGAGCTTGGCCCTTTATTTCCAGTGAAGAGATCTCTTAAGGTGTCAGCATACCAAGACATTTTGGACAATTTCATGTTCCCAACTTTGTGGGAACAGTATGGGGATGGCCCCTTCGTGTTCTAACATGACTGCACACCAGTGCACAAAGTAAGGTCCATAAAGACATGGATGAGTGAGTTTGGGGTGGAGAAAAACTTGACTGGCCTGCACAGAATCCTGACCTCAACCCGAAAGAACACCTTAGGGATAAATTAGAGCGGAGACAGCGAGCCAGACCTTCTCGTCCGACATCAGTGCCTGACCTCAATGGTCAAACATTCCCATAGATACACTCCTAAACCTTGTGGACAGCCTTCCCAGAAAAAGATGAAGCTTTTATAGTTGCAAAAGTGTGGGCCAACTCAATATTGAACCCTACGGACTAAGACTGGGATGCCATAAAAGTTCATGTGCGTGTAAATGCAGGCATCCCAATACTCTTGGCAATATAGTGTATATGTGTAATAGGTTATTGGGGACAAGACCCTAGTCTTGTAGCTATTCTACTTGCTTTCATGAGATATGCTTTTGTTCACTTTTTTAAAAATATTGAATTAATAAATTGTTTATCATGGGCGTGCACATAGGGTGTGTCCCAGCGCTGTCAGCTTCCCTCCTCTCTCTCCTCTCTCTTGTGTGCACACAGGGGAATGTTTCAGGATGGAGAGCAGGGGACAGAGATGGTTAATGTCATGTAATTTACTCTGTTCATTCATAACTGAAGCATAGTAAACTGTGTGTACTATATATACAGACACACACCTATGCTGTATATATTACATTTTAATGATTGATTCTAGTTGTGCCTAAAAATCCTGCCACTATAGCTGCTCCTCTTGATGATTTAGTCCCGACTGTTGCATTCTGTAAGCCGTGCTGTACACTATGTAGTCCTGATTTATGCACTGTATCAGCTGTGTTGTACATTATGTAGTCTGACTCTTGCCTGTTGTAATTGTAAACTGTGCTATACATAATATAGTCCTGACTATTGTACTGTGTAAGCAGTGCTGTACATTATATAGTCCTGACTGTTGCACTGTGTAAACTGTGCTGTACATTATATAATCCTGACTGTTGCACTCTGTAATCTGCACTGTACATTATATAGTCCTGACTGTTAACTCTGTAAAATGTGCTGTACGTTATATAGTCTTGACTGTTGCAGTGTGTAAGCTGTGCTGTACATTATATAGTCCTAACTGTTGCAGTCTGTAAGCAGTGCTGTACATTATATAGTCCTGACTGTTGCACTCTTTAAACTGTGCTGTAAATTATATAGTGCTGACTGTTGCAGTGTGTAAACTGTGCTGTACATTATATAGTCGTGACTGTTGCAATGTGTAAACTGTGCTGTACAGTATATACAGTCATGGCCGAAATTGTTGGCACCCTTGATATTTTTCCTGAAAATCAAGTATTTCACACAAAAAAGGTATTGCATTAACACATGTTTTGCTATACACATGTTTATTCCCTTTGTATGTATTGGAACAAATATAAAACAGAGGCAGAAAAGCAAATATGACATAATGTCACACAAAACCCCAAAAATGGGCTGGACAAAAGTATTGGCACCCTTAACTTAATATTTGGTTGCACACCCTTTGGAAAACATAACTGAAATCAGTCGCTTCCTATAACCATCAATAAGCTTCTGACACCTCTCACCCCGAATTTTGGACCACTCTTCCTTTGCAAACAGCTCCAGGTCTCTCTTATTGGAAGGACACCTTTTCCCAACAGCAATTTTAAGATCTCTCCACAGGTGTTCAATGGGATTTAGATCTGGGCTCATTGCTGGCCACTTCAGAACTCTCCAGCGCTTCTTTGCCATCCATTTCTGAGTGCTTTTTGACGTATGTTTGGGGTCATTGTCCTGCTGGAAGACCCAGGATCTTGGACGCAAACCCAGCTTTCTGACACTGGGCCCTACAGTGCGACCCAAAATCCTTTGGTAATCCTCAGATTTCATGATGCCTTGCACACAGTCAAGGCACCCAGTGCCAGAGGCAGCAAAACAACCCCAAAACATCATTGAACCTCCACCATATTTTACCGTAGGTACTGTGTTTTGTTCTTTGTAGGCCTCATTCCGTTTTCGGTAAACAGTAGAATGATGTGCTTTACCGAAAAGCTCTATCTTGGTCTCATCTGTCCACAAGACGTTTTCCCAGAAGGCTTTTGGCTTACTCAAGTACATTTTGGCAAACTGTAGTCTTGCTTTTTTATGTCTCTGTGTCAGCAGTGGGTCCTCCTGGGTCTCCTGCCATAGCGTTTCATTTCATTTAAATGTCGACGGATAGTTCGCGCTGACACTGATGCTCCCTGAGCCTGCAGGACAGCTTGAATGTCTTTGGAACATGTTTGGGGCTGCTTATCCACCATCCGGACTATTCTGCGTTGCAATCTTTCATCAATTTTCCTCATCCGTCCACGACCAGGGAGATTAGCTACAGTGCCATGGGTTGCAAACTTCTTGATAATGTTGCGCACTGTGGACAAAGGCAAATCTAGTTCTCTGGAGATGGACTTGTAACCTTGAGATTGTTGATATTTTGCCACAATTTTGGTTCTCAGGTCCTCAGACAGTTCTCGTCTCCTCTTTCTGTTGTCCATGCTTAGTGTGGCACAGACAGACACACAATGCAAAGGTTAAGTGAACGTCTCTCCTTTTTATCTGCTTTCAGGTGTGATTTCTATATTGCCCACACCTGTTACTTGCCCCAGGTGAGTTTACAGGAGCATCACATGCTTGTAACATTCTTATTTATCCGCAGTTGTGAAAGGGTGCCAATACTTTTGTCCAGCCCATTTTTGGAGGTTTGTGTGACATTATGTCGAATTTGCTTTCTTTCCTCCCTTTTTTTGTTTTGTCCCAATACACACAAAGGGAATAAACATGTGTATAGCAAAACATGTGTTAATGCAATACGTTTCGTGAGAAATACATGATTTCCTGGAGAAATATCAAGGGTGCCAACAATTTCGGCCATGACTGTAATCCTGACTGTTGCACTCTGTAATCTGGACTGTACATTATATAGTCCTGACTGATGCAGTGTGTAAATTGTGCTGTACATTATATAGTTCTGACTGTTGCACTCTGTAAGCTGTGTTTTATGTTCCATACTCCTGACCAAAGTTTCTATTGTCTCTACAGAAGCTAGTTGCTAGGTAAAAAATAACATGTTTAATACTTACCTTTTTGCTGGGCAGTTAGTAAAATCTTTGTTTCATTAAAAAGCCAAGGGCGCCACTAGTATCCATATATTGGATACCTGGTCCACCACTGGGCACTGTGTGGTTCCTCCTGCTGGCTGCTATGTGACACCCTCTGTAGGTCTTTTGTGTGCCTAAAGCCTTGTTTAAATGGAAGTTGAGCTTCCATTTATCATTTTTATTTTCATAGCTGAGCTCCTCCATGCCTCTTATCAGTTTGGCTGCCATTCTCTGTACTTTCTCCAGTGCCCCAATGTTCTTTTTGTGAATTGGTGCCTAAAACTGAACTGTGTATTCCAGATGAGGTCTTACTAATGATTTGTACAGGGGTCAAATTATATCTCTCTCTGGATTCTATACCTCCTTTAATACAAGAGAGGATTTTGCTTGCTTTAGAAACTGCAGCTTGGCATTGCATGCCAATATAAAGCTTGTAATCTACCAGAACTCCCAGATCCTTCTTCACCATTGATTCCCCCAGTTGTACTCCCCCTAGTATGTATGATGCATGCATATTCTTAGCCCCCAAGAGCATTAACCTTACATTTATCAACAGTAAACCTCATTTGCCACATAGTTGCCCAATTAAACAGTGCATTGAGGTCGGCTTGTAAGTAGAAGACATCCTGTAAGGACGATATTCCACTGCACAGCTTGGTGTCATCTGCAAAGACTGAAATGGGATTTTTAATCCCAGACCCTATATTGTTTATAATATATTAAAAAGTAAGGGTCCCAACACTGAACCTTGGGGTACACCACTGACAACCTGTCAGGAATGGACTTGCCAATAGTGGTGGGACTCACCTGCCTTGTGGGCTGCAGTACCAGGGCTGGCCAGCGGGTGCTCTCAACAACCAGAGGTTCACTTCGGCAATTAGCCATCACCTGGGGCTGATTGCAGGTGGTGTATTTAAGGGATGGCCAGACCTGCAGTCTGTGCCTTGGTGTGTGTTTTTCCATGGGCCCCTGTATCTTGTAACCTGCATTCCTGTTCCTGTTTCTGCCTGACTTGTTGCCGACCCTGCCTGATCCTGACCTCTGCTGACTTCTCCTGTTTGATCCCTGGCTTGTGACCCTGACCATTCTCTGCCTGACCCCCTGTACCTACCTGTCCGTTAGTTGCTGTACCCGGCTCGTGACCTGACTACTCTCCGCCTGCTCCTCCTGTACCTACCTGCCCGATAGTAATCGACCCGGCCTGCCTGACTACATTGTGCTCTATATGTGTATGTACCTGTGTATCTATATCAGTTTAGGTTTGGGTTTGTTTCACCTTGTTGTATGTATTTGTGTTAGCTTGGGGTTTGGTGTACTGCGTTTATGTTTGTATTGTTAGTCTTAATAAATTGTCTTATTTATACCATATCTGAAGCCTGCGTTTCCCTGTGTCAGTCCACACACTTCTGGTCACACCCGCATCCCTGACACAACCCTAGACCATTCAGAGCATGAATCATTAACCACTACTCTCTGAATACAATCTTAGCCAGTTTTCTATCCATTTACATATGGATTTTTCCAAGCCTGTAGACTTTACCTTACACAATAGCCATGTGTGGGGAACTGTGTCAAACACTTTTGCAAAATTCAAGTATTCCACGTCCACCACCACCCCTCTGTCCAAGGTTATGCTCACCTCCTTATAAAAAGAAATCAGATTTGTTTGACAACTTCTGTCTTTCATGAATCCAT